CAGATGGAGAGGGGAGGACGTGGGAGGAAAAGTCTAAAACACAAATTACGCCACGCTGTTCACTGTTCCATTGTGTGTGGGCTTAAGGGGAGGGGAATCGCTTTTACGAAATAAAAATTCTGCACCAGCTGGGAAGAGAATGGGCATTTTTCATGGGTTTGGGATCTAATGAATGCAAATTCCAATGCAGATTTTCAGCCCCTGAATGCCAGATTTTTACATCCAACCGCCTACTTGACACCTACAATCAGGCGTCCAACGGGGGCACCACAACCTAGGTTTCTGATCTTGAAATGGCAACTCCAGACCAGACCCAAAAAAAAAATTGGGAGTCCATTGGCTTTTTCTTTTTACTTGAACATCAGGCACTTATGGTGGATTTACTTTTATGTAAATCCTGGATGTACCTCCACCTACTAGCGCTGGTGGACCGCGGCCACCTCCCGCCGGGACTCCCTGGGCTCCTGCCCTGCCCTACTTCCCCCACAGTCTGGTCCCCACAGGGCCGCCAGGGGACGCCCGTCCCCACCAGCGGCCGCTCACTCCGGGCTCCCGGTCACTCCGCGTCCCAAAGTCATCACCATGGACTACAGGGCCGGGATGTTCAGGCCCCTCCCTTAGCCCTCTGATCTTACGCCCTCCTCACTGTGCCCCAGCTACACCCGCCTCCTCGCTCTTCCCGGAATATAGTTGACACCCTACCTCTTCAGCATTTTTTTTGTGGCCGTTTTTAAAAATTGAGGTTAAATTAGCATCACCTAACACCCTCTCAGAGTGTACAATTCCGTGGTATTTAGCACATTCACAGAGTACATTCTACCTATTTCTGAGGAATAGTCCTACGTCATCATTTCTTACAGGAAACAATGGCGATTGGAAAGGAGTTTGTGTTAATCGGTCGCATAAGTGAACATTTACCATGAGAGGCATTTGGTACAGTCACAATGTTGTGCAGCCTGCACCTCTACCTAGTTCCAAGGCATTTTCATCACGCCAAAAGGAGCCTTACCCAGTAAGCAGTCACCGCCCTTCCCTCCTTCCGCCACCCTCCAGCCCCAATTTACCTTCTGTCCCTATGAATTTGCCTGTTTGGAACATTTCGAGTAAATAGAGAGATGCAATAAGTCATTTTTTGTGTGTCTGACTTAGCATAACGTTTTCCGGGTTCATCCACATTGTAGCATGTATCCACCTCAGAGATTTTGCATCTACTGTTCCCTCCACCTGGAACACTTTTCCTTCAGACAATCACAGGGCTTTCTCCCTACTCCCTTCAGACCTTTACTCAAATGTCACTTCTCCCCTGATACCTGTTTAAAATTGCAACCCCCTCCTCCAGCTCTCTGTATCCCCCTTTTCTCATGGTGCTGACACCCTTAAAATTCAACGTATCTTACTTTATATTTTGTATGCTGTTAGCCATCTCCCCTCACTAGAATGTGCACTCCGTGTTTTTCTGTTTCTTCCTCCTTTATGGTATGTGCCTAGCATCATAAGTGGTGCGTGGTACGTGGCAAGCACTCAGTAAATTCTTGTTAGATAAATGCACCTTTAAGAAAATATTTAGTAAGTTTATTAGTGAGTCGCTTATATCAACAGCTACAATTGTGAACATCTTAACTTTTCACAAAAACCATCTTTAAAACAACATGTTTATTGGAATGTCCGTGCCCAAACATTGGAGACAATTGAATCATGTAAAAAAAAAATGTATGTGAAACAGGAAAGCAAACTAAGTCATTTGTTAACACCAGGAAAATTCTTATCTGCCTCTCCCAGTGATAATTCTTGTCTCTTTCTAGGGAAGGAGCAGGCGCTAGGAATTCAGGCAAGTTGGAAGGGGGTGAGTGGGGGGAGCAGAGAGGGGGGGAAAGTGGTTCATTTCCTTGCAGACTGACCCTTGGCTGATAAGAGGCCAATTTGCATCCTTAAAAGGAAAGGGCATATTTCCGATTTTAAATGTTTTCAAGTAGGGCTTATAGGCTCTTCTACTGGAGGCCGATTTGTCTAAGGTCTCACTAAGTTCCCATCAGGCTGCTTTCATTTACACGGGCATATGCATACTGAGCCACCGACACAATTGCAAACAGTAGGCGGCAGGAATTTCATGTGACCTATTCTGATGAATATGATACCCGAAGGAGCTAAAGTAATCTGGTGTGGGATACACTGAGGAATACGGTACCTGCAGGATCTTGGGAAGATTCACTGGTGCTGGTAACATGGACATTTTACTCAAATGTCACTTCCTCAGTGAGCCTTCCCTGACCATCACCTTTTTTTTAATTATCCTTTTTAACACACAAATATTAAACGTGCAGCTTAGTGAAATTTTCAAGTGCATAACACCATTTAACCACCTCCCACATCAAGATAGAGATCATTTCCGGTTCCCCAGGAAGTTTTCTCAGGCATCTTCCTTGTCAATTCCCCCACAGGGTCACCACTATCCTATATCATATACTTGAGTTTGGCTTACTCTAGGACTTCATAAAAACAAATTCATAGAGCATGCACTCTTTATGTTGGGATGCATGGATAAACGGATGGATGATGGAAGGATCAGTGGGTAGATAAGTGGATGGAGATGGATGGATTGATGATGGATGGATGGATGGATGGATGGATGCATGGATGGATGCATGGATGGCATGGAATGATGCCTGGCAGTCCCTAGGGGTTCTTGGTAAGTTCTCGGGTGAGGCCTGACATCTTTGTCCAGAGCAAAGTGACAAGGACCTGTACAGCAATTGTCTCCACATCTTCTGCCCTCACCCCCACCGGGATCTACACATGCCCTTCGTGGGCAGGGAATCCCTGTCTGTCCTGTCCTCCCTCTGGCCCTCTACCCTCAAACCCCACCCCCATGTCCCGGACCTCTGTCTACCCCTCTGGCACAAGTCCAGGCCCGAGTGGACAGGGTGTGTAACCAGTGTAGACATATTAATCAAGTGTCATCGACTGACCAGGACTTTCAAGACCCAAACCACAGCCCCCAGGCCCCAAAAGCCCCTCTGGGTAGAAAGATACCTCCGATCTGCTCCCATCTATTTAGAAAGCAGCAGCTACCGCGTTGCCCCCACCCCACTCCCGGGGAGGGGAGTAGTCTAGCTTTTGTCCCGCCTGCTGCAATGTGGTCTTTTGAGGGGTCCTGCGTAAGGGTGACGGGGGAGTTACGGTCGCGCGAAAACCTCCCAAGCCGACTGGTTCCAGGTGTGGGCTCTCGGCGCCCCCTGGCGGCCACTGTCTCTCCAGCATCTCTACTCGCTTCCTCTTGAACTTGGGAAATCCTGCATTTGACGGTCCACACCGGACACTCAGAGAGACCGGGACGTTGATGTTCACGCAGGAGCGCAGGCGGCGCCACGAGACCGTTCCAGGCGTGACCAGCAAGGGCGTCCCCGCTCCTGGATCCCCCGCGGCAGTTCTTAGCAACCCATCCTTGACCCGACCTCCCCCAACTCCCCCCATCACCCCTCCTCCCTGCTAGGGGTACTTCCAGCCTTGCCGAGTGGTCCAGCTGCGGTCCTGATTCCCTCCCACCTCTCTGGCCGCTTCTGCTATGTCCCTTTTTCTGGTTCCCGCCCTCTTCCTCTCCTCACATCTTCCCTAAATCTTCCTTCTCCCACCTCCCTCTCTCCTCTCCTCCCCACTCGTCTACTCAGCTCCCACTGCGTCCAATGCCACCATATCCCCATGCTGACCGCCTCAGCCTCTCCCTGACCAGTCCTCTGAGCATCAACTCCCGTATTCAGTCACTTCTGCCACTGCACCTTTTATAAGCCTAATGGGCAACTCAGGCTTAATCTGACCAGAACCCAACCTGAATTTCTCTGCCCCAAACCCACTTTTATTTGAGTTGTCCCCATCCCAGTTAACCTGTTTTGAACTCATTCCCCTTCCATCCATCCATCCAATTTTTCATTAATTCTCTGTCTTCCGCTGCATCTCCCCCCAAACCCTCCAACCCGCCAAGCCAGGAAAGTTAGAGCTTTACTTCCTGGAACTGGTATTCCCCAAACCATCTATGTCCCCGTCTCTGCATAGAGCATTTCCCTCCCTCCAAATGTTCCACCTAGAATATTCTCACTGTCCTTCTTGGTCTCTCTCTCGCCCTCTCACACCCACATGCAACTTCTTAGCCAGTCTGCACATTCCACCTTCAAAACTGATCCAGCATCTGACCACTTCCTCCCTCCAGACTCCACCCTGGTCCAGCACCATTATCTCCCACCTGGACGATTGCAGCTTTCTCACTACATCTCTTGCCCCTGACAGTCTGTCCCCCAGCCACAGCCAGAGGGACTCTCTCTCCTCACGAGGCCCGAATGGCCCTGTATGATGTGGCCCCAGGTTGCATCATGAGTCGCACCTCCCACATTCTCTTTGGTTCACACTGGCTGCAGGCACACACAGCCCTTCCTGAGGTTTTCAACCCCAGAGCCTTGGCACTGACTATTCTGTCTACCTGGAAAGCTTTTTCCTGTGCTATCTGTGATATCCACATGGCTGCCTCCTTCATTTTATTCCAATCTCTGCTCAAATGCCAATTACTAGGAGAGGATTTGGTATTGGAGTTAATACCTGGGTAGGTGAGTAGGGGTGGGGACAAATGGAAGGGCTATTTCAAAGGGAGAGTGGACATGACCCGGGTGGAATCTCAAATCTAGGGTATCACTTCCCTCGTCTATGCTTTAAATTCTTCAGTGGTTAAAAAGGGGGGGGGTCACAATAGCACCTGTCACACTGGGACCAGAACAAGGACCTGGGACAGGAACAGCTTTCTATTAATTGCTTAAATGACATCATTAAAGGAAAAGGAGGGATCCTTGACATTGCCAGGTTTCTGGCCTGGGAGACTTACATGTCATTCCAGAGTTAGGGTCACAGGATGATTTTAGACCAGAGGTCAATTCCCGCCTCCTCCCCACTATGAGCATGCAGGGAAGGTGGGCACGAAGGGGTGGAGGCGTCCTCCACCGTCTGTCTGTCTGTGCTCCTGCCTTGTTCACGGAAGGCTGGGCTCTCTAAGTGAAATGGAGAAAGTCCTGCCTGGCCCCTGACTCTCAGCAATTGTGTGGCTTTGGCTAAGCCCCTTGTCCTGTCTGGGCCACCATCTCTTTTACTGGCAAATGAACACAGCAAAAATGACAGTTTTTCACAGTGGTTTAATTTCTTGCAGACCTTGGAAAACTCTCAGAATTTAAAAAAAATTATTTTCCTGTGTTTAGGGATGATGCCCAGGACAACAGCACAGAACCCACCCACCAGCAGGGAACCACTGGATTCAAGAACGCAGAGTCCTGGCCGTGACCCTGTGGTCACTTCTGCCATCCATGACTCTGGAGGGACTCTAATTGCTGGAACCGGTTCTACACACAGAATCCAGCTGCAAGGGTGTCTGGGAATCGCAGTTTCTGCCTGCAGCCTCTGCTGTGAGGAGGGTGGAGGTCAGCAGAGCCCACAGAGACCTGGGTGGAATCTCAAATCCACCGCGGTGGGTCCGTCACAGTGAAGATCACGGGAGTAAGTGGAGAAGAGGCGGAGAAACAGATGTAAGGAGGAAGGTCAAAGTCCACCATCATTCACTGTCCATGTGTAGTCCCTGGAAACCCTGGTGACCGTCCTCCCACGTGCCTTTCTCTGCCCATGTTTATATACATTTTAAAAATAGTTCGGATCCTGCTGTGTCCTTTCCCCGTGTAACAGTTCTCTGAAAGAGACTATATTTTCCCTGATCATTAAAAGTTCTTCCAAAAGCTGTTTTTTCCTTAAATGGTGGTGAAATATCCCACTTGTAAAAAAAACTCGCTTCCTATTGTTCTACACTTGGACTGTTTCTGCGTTTACCCTTCTCAACAGCACAATGGCAGACATCTCTACGTACATCAAGGAATCTTTGTCCAGTTTGAATTCCTTTTTTTTTTTAATTAAAAAAAATTTTTTTAACGGAGGTACTGGGAATTGAACCCAGGACCTCATGCACATCAAGCATGTGCTCTACCACTGAGCTATACCCGCCCCCATCCTTGAAGTCCTCTCTTTTAAAAAGTTTGGAAAAGCTGGACAAAGCAACACAAAAGAAAAGAATCCTCTGGAATCCCCCACCCAGGAGACTCTGGGCATGGGGTTAGTTCAACGAACTCCTGCGTGGATGGGGGCAGATCCTGTTTGCTTTATTCCACAAAATAGCAGAACATAAACACATCCCGGTTATTACACATGCTTCCGACCCTGGGGTTAGTGGCCACCCCCTCCCCCCACAGCCATTACCAAGCTTCCTTCCATTCTACGCGGGACTCTGACAGACCTGCCTCTGCTTTATGCTTTTTTCTCCAATTTCCGGCCATTTCCTTCAGGCAAGTTCCCAAGAGCGCAATCAGTGGGTCAAAAGGTAAGAGCATTTGTGAGGACTCTTTGGCACAGAGTGCAAGTTTCCATACTTTAAAAAAAAACCGTTTTGTTTTGTTCCCTAACGTTATTCTAATCACCGACACTGATCCAGGGCTGACCCTGTGCCGGGCGCTGTTCAAAGCACTCTCCTGTGCAGACTCTACCCTCGTAACAACCCACACTGCAGCAGGCACTGTCATTATGACCACGTTGCAGATGGGGACTCTGGAGTCCAGAGAGGTGGAGTAAACTTCATGAGGTCACACAGCTAGTATGAAACAGAGCTAGGATTTGAAATGAGGACACTGGCCCCCAAAACCATGCTCTTACACAATTCAAGGCTGCTGCATACAGATAGCCTCCCTCCTTTTAACAACCCACTCGTGCTCCTTCTGCAGGATACAGGTACTGTCACTTACACAGCCTTCCTCACCCTACGTGTGGGTAATCCTTCCAACTTTATTACTACGATCAGAGGCAGAGCTAAGATTTGTGGTGCCTGAGGCTTTTACAATTTGGGGGACCCGCTGCAGGAAAAATAGTTCTTACAGATTCAAAAGAAGGTGTAGGGCTTTGGAAGGGACTAGTGCAAGTAAATGGCTCTGAACCTTAAGTTCCATCAGCATCACACTAAATCCCAATGTGCCTCTTCCCAATAATTACCAGGAAAATTTCAAGGCAGTGAAGTCAAGTGAGTTTTCCTGTGAACATCTACATTACACCCCCACCTAGAGTCCACCATTAACATTTCCCTGTGCATGTTTTATGATGCACCTGGGAGCCTGCCCCTCACCCATCTGTCCCTTCCTCCCCCTTACTGTCTTATGCATTTCCAAAGGAGTTGAAGACATCAGGGCACCACTGCGGTTTGCAGATCTTTAACCAGAGTTCAGCATTTTTACGCTTTTCCTTTTAGTGTCAAAATCAGACATGAAATGCAATTTACATGCAACACAACCCATAAATGTGCCTCTGCTGACCCTGCTTTCTGCACACATGGGAACAGATGCATTTCCCCAATTAAATAGTGAGAACTTCCTGAGGACGCTGTCTAACGTCCAGGCTGCAGAATGTGTCCCTGGGTAGCAGTGACCACCCATCCCCCAGGTAGCTCCGTTTTGAGGGATGCTTTGATGGTCACCTCTGGGTATTGAGTTTCCGCCCTTCTTCCAGCAGCTTCCTTCTGACTCCCTCCCCAGGATGGACTCACTGGGTCAGAAAACAGGGTTTAAAAGGCATTTTAGCAGACACAGAACAACTTCCATCCTCACCTCGACTTACTGTTCCCTCTCCCTCCCCCTCCTCCCTACCACACACAGCCATTTATTATATGTACAACCATCCTTTTTATTTTTAGGACAGGAGAGGGAGAGGAACTGCAGGAACAGTTCCTTAAAGTCATTATGTTTTAGAGTACAGGGGGTGGGAGGGAAGGCTCTGACATTACTCTCTTCCTCCATCCATTTGTTTTATAAACAGCTTGTTCTATTTTTAGATACGTGTCCTGGAGCAACCTTTCCAAAGGCCAGGATGAAAAATAGAGGAAGATTAACAGCAAACTAAAAGCATCGAATGCTTCTGATAAAAGATACCACACAAAATGTCAAAAGGAAGAGCCTGGGAGAAATGTCTGTGACATGGATAGCAGACTTCAGATCCATAATAAATAAAGAGCTACTACAAATAAACAAGATGACAAAGCAGCCCAGAAGGAAAATGGTCCAAAGGTTTGAACAAGCATGGAAGAAACTGCTGGTGATTACATGAAAAGATGCTCGACCTCACTGGTAACCATGCACAGTAAAACAAAAATAGTGAGACCACAGAGTAGTAAAGACATAAGCAAACAAGGGAGCTCCTATGCTGTTGAGGGTAAATGTCAGCACAGCCTACATGGAGAGCAACCTGGCTGAGTCCATCAATGACCCTGTAGATACTCTTCCTGTATCCCAGAGATCACTTCCAGGCACCTGTCCTACAGACACATGGGAGATGCCTCAGGTACACAGGTCTCCTTCCAGTTTCATCAGGAGGAGCAACGTGGGTCTAAGTGAGTGGAACGCCGGGCACTCACACCATGGAATTCTCTGCAGTCATGCAAACGAATAAGCAAGCACCCAATGGACACAGGAAGTTCTCTAACAGGTGCCCACGGCACATTACAGAACCATATGTGGTATGATCCTATCCAAGACACAGAAAAATTACAATCCTTCTATTTTCCTACATACATGTACGTACTTTAATGGACTCAAACGTGGAATGTAACGGAACCATGCACACCGCACCACAGAGACAGCTACTCTGTAGAGGAGGGTCAGAAGGGAGCGGAAAGGTCAAGGGTGATCACACGTTTTGCAGGGGGATGTTTATGAACCACATCAATGACTTACAGTGAGAACATAAACCCTTATTATTTGTAGAATAAAGATTTTCAAAAGTCCTTTTTAAATGGTGGGCGGGAGGATTCACTCCCTTTGACATGCTTCAGTTTTCTCACCTTTAAAAGGGGGATAACCCCAGCCCTCCTTAACTAGATTGTCGTGCGGACCTGATGAACAAAACCACCTGCTTGAAAGCCTGATAGGCGCGCAGCAAACGTCAGCTGCTGCGACGGCCAAGGTGACAGGGCTCAATCAGGGTCTGCCTCCCGCGCAGTCACTGGGGCCTCCCCAGAGAAACCCAAGTGCAGAACGCCACTCACCTCCCCCGCGCCGATCAGCCTGCAGGCCCCGGCTCCTCTGCCAGTTTCTGTAAGACCATCCTCACTCCCGGGATGGCTGCTCACCCTGCCTCAGCTGGACGGGCCTCTGCCACCCCCTAGGTTCCCACCAAGCTTTTGTGGAGATGAAGGTCCCAGCACCTACATCCCTGGGCACTAGAAGGGGACGTACAGAGAGAGAAGCTGCCTGCAGGAGGGAGACAAGTCACACCCAAGGCCCAAGGTGTTGGTCAAGAGGTGCTTTATTGAAGGCTGGGGGCTCGGGCATCTCGAGGCAGCTATAACCTGGGGACAGAGAGGGAAGCTGAGGGTGGATGAGGGGAGGGGGCCCCACATCCTCGTCCACCTGACACCCCTTCTTCTGGCTTGGGCCCTTCCATTTCTCCTGGGGGACCCTCCCAGGCCCGACTCTGTGGTCAGGTGGCTCTGGGGGGCTGACCCTCTTCCAGGCCTGGCCAGAGAACATCACTCCACCACTGGCCACAGCGACCAGATCTGGGATGGGCACCGGGACCCACCAGAGGCCCCTGGGGAGAAGGGGCGTGTACTCACTGGACCTCGCGGAACGCCCGCCTCTCCACCAGCTTCACTTTGTACTTGCGCTTGAATCTGGAGGAGAGAGCAGAGAGCAGTTGGTGACCACAAGCCCATCACTCGCAGGAAGGTTCTCGATGCCCCACCCCCAACCTGCCCCGCTTAGCAGCCCCAGGCCCTCACTTGGCTCGCTCCCTTGGCTCGATCATGTTTCTCCTCTGGAAGCTCTTGAAGCGGTCACGGAGGACGCTGCCCTCGGGCTGTGGGACACAGAGAGGGAGGTCTTAGCGGGCACCCAGGAGAGACCCTAGGGCACCTGAGCTCTCCACAGCGTCCAGAGGGAGCTGAGCCCCCACAGCTGCCTGTCAGCCCAGACCCCCAGTCTGGCCTCGTGGACACCAAGGGCTCAGCCTGGCCCTGGGCTCGTGGGGTGATAGGTATGGACCTGGGGATGCTTGGTGCGGACCCATGGGTTGCCCCTGAGCTGGGTCTGAGAAATCAACAGAAAGGAGGTCACAGAAGAGTGAACACAGGAATGCCAGGCAGAGGGAGCAGCAGGGGCAAAGGCAGGGGTGAGAGGGAGAAGGGCACACTGTCAGCCCACTAACGAAGTGCCCAAGGCAGGCTGGGCCATGCAGGGCTGTGGTGAGGAGCTGGGCTTCCCCCTCCCCGAGGCGCTGGGAAGACACGGCAGGTTCTGACTGGGGGAGGGACTGGGTCTGTTTTGAGCTTTAGGGAGACCCCGCTGGGACGGAAAAGGGTGGGAGCAGGGCCGTGAGACCAGGGGCAGGAAAGGGACCTGGCTGGGAGGAATGGCAGCTGAGGGTCACACGCTCAAACCACCGTCACCCAGCCCCTCACCCCCGGGGGCCCCGTGCCCTCAGCCCCTAGGCATCAGCCCAACCAGCCCAGCCCGGGGGCAGCCAGGATGTCGCCCATAGTCCCTGGGGGACACGGGGAGCAAGGATAGGTGTCATCACCGGGCACAGGGGCGCCCCTATAGCACCACAGCCCCCCAGACAGACAAGTACCTTCAGGGTCCTCAGCGAGTCAGACAGCTCAGAGCTGAGCTGCACGTCAATGTCAGGGTCCCGATACCTGGGGAGCAGGGGGCAGGGCGTTCAATGGGGCAGCCTGGCCCAGGACAGAGTCCAAAGGCCCCTCCTGGGGAAGAGCAGGCTGGGCAGTGGGGCTTTCGGGGAAGCGGGGCCCAGGCCGAGCAAAGGCGGGAAGGACCCAGACCCCTCCCAGCCTCCCCCAGGACGCCCTCAGTCTTGGCCTCACTTCAGCCGCCCCAGCCT